AAAAACAGCCCAATAACAGCCCAAAAACCAGCCCCAAAACGGCCCAAAAGAATGACCTGAAACAATCCAAAAAACCAACCTGAAAACAGCCCCAAAACCAGCCCAAAAACGGCCAAAAAAACAGCCCAATAACAGCCCAAAAACCAGCCCCAAAACGGCCCAAAAGAATGACCTGAAACAATCCAAAAAACCAACCTGAAAACAGCCCCAAAACCAGCCCAAAAACGGCCAAAAAAACAGCCCAATAACAGCCCAAAAACAACCCAAAAACCAGCCTGAAAACAGCACAAAAACCAGCTCAAAAACCAGCCGGAAAACAGTCCAAAGAACCGACCTGAAAACAGCACAAAAACCAGCACAAAAACAGTCCAAAAAACTGAACTGAAAACAGCCCCAAAAACCGACCTGAAAACAGTCCAAAATCCAGCACAAAAACAGTCCAAAACCCCGACCTGAAAGCAGCCCAAAAACGGCCTGAAAAATGCCCCCAAAACAAGATGCGTGCACTGGCCAGCTGGTCTTTGGTTTTCCGGGGCTCTGGCACGCACACATGCACACATGTTATGGTTTGGGCACCTGGTGCCGAAAAGGTTCGCCATCGTAGCTTTGTACCATTTCAGACAAGTGGTTGTCCAAACACTTCTTGGAGCGCCTACAATTTCTGGTGGCCAGCTGTTCCCCTGGTTAATTGTCCTCCCTGTCAGGAAGTTTCTCCTGAATTCCAGGTTGATTAGTTTCCACCCATTGCTTCTTGTCCTGCCTTTTAGGTGCTTTGGAGAATAATTCCCCTGGCGTGAGGTGGTTCAGAGCACGTGGTGGGAGGGAGGCACCTCGCGGCTTCTGCCAACGGGTTCAATGCAAATTGCGGCTCGACGCGTGCCGAGCAGGAGGAGAGGAAAAAGAGAGAGAGAGCGCGAGAGAGACAGAATCACATTCCCTTCTTTTCATGACTTTGATTTGCAAAAGTTGTCAGCCCTCAAGGCTGCAGAGAGGAGCTTTTAAGTGCGTCACCTGCCAGAAAGGGGAAAAAAACATCAGAAAACAGGGGAGGCTAAATGGCGAAACAGCCCACGGGCCCATTAGACCAGTGTTTCTCAACCTTGGCAACTTGAAGATGTCCGGACTTCAACTCCCAGAATTTCCCAGCCAGCGAATGCTGGCTGGGGAATTCTGGGAGTTGAGGTCCGGACATCTTCAAGTTGCCAAGGTTGAGAAACACTGGACTAGACGCTAAGCGTTGTTAACCTGGGAGTTGAAGTCCAGACATCTTCAAGTTGCCAAGGTTGAGAAACACTGGACTAGACGCTAAGCGTTGTTAACCTGGGAGTTGAAGTCCAGACATCTTCAAGTTGCCAAGGTTGAGAAAC